AACATAAAAATTAAGTTATTTGTATTCTGCAGCTATCTTTATGGTCTGTTCAGCTGCAGCTTCATATTTCTCATCAGTACCTACTGCTTGGGTCTTAGGAGCCTTAATGCACAGATGTGGTATTATATATATTAGTCTCTGCGAGTTCAGGGATACACAGATGCAAAGGTTGTATCCACAAGTGAAACTATTTGTCTGCTTGCCTGTGCTAGAGGACAGCCCCAGAAACTTCACTGGCTTACTGGCCTAGTCCCTGTGAAGCTTAATCTGTGACCTAGGGGTGAGCACCTGGTGGACAAAAGTCTGGGAGACAGTGTTTCAGGAGTCTCCCTATTTCTTCTGCATCTGGCTGCATAGGGTCAAGCATCACCCCAGCAGTGGCAAGAGAGGCAGGCATTTTGATAATGACTTTGATGTTAGCTTGAAGTCTGACACCTGGCTCCCAAGATAGCCTCTAAGCCCCAGGAAGCTGCAGCAACCACGGGGGTTGAAAAGCAGTACAGCTCCCAAGTTTCCTTGCCCTGTATGAAGTGGCAGGAGTCAACCAGGGCTCAGTTCTCCTGGGACACTGCTGTGCATCTGAGGAGAAGCACCAGGTTTGCATCCAAAACCCTGTCACCACTGCCCTGGCCAGGCCTCTCAGGGGGCTTTGCAAAAGGGATGGGATCATCCTCTTTAGGCTGTTACTGCAGGAGGGGGTAGGGCCTTATTTTATTATCAGTCCACAGTATGTTGCCTATCCTGCTTCCTTCCTTTTAGTTTATCTGTTTCCTTTTCAGGCAATCAGCTACCATTATTTTGAGGTGCTCTCTTCTTTACTTAATAAAGCAGCAAAATGCTAGCAGCTGTGGGGTTGTTAATCCTTTACAAGATTAGCTGGTGGCCATGGGGCCTCTAGATGGAGGCACTGGTCACTAAAGACTCAGGTCTGAAGGGTCTTGGTCCTCAGGGCAGGGGAGGGGGTGAGAGAGACTCTGCAAAGGGGGAACAAGGGACCAAATCATCTTCAAAGAACTGCACCATTCTTTGGGAGCCCTGATACCCCTGCATGCGCACATATGCACTTTTAGCAAGTACATCTTATCATTATCATAGAAAATGAGGGTTGGAAGGGTCCTCGGGAGGTCACATCTAGTCCAACCCCCTGCTCAAAGCAGGACCAGCCCCAACTAGATCATCCCAATCAAGGCTTTGTCTAGCCAGATTTAAAAACCTCCAAAGATGGAGATTTTACAATCTCTGTGGTAAACTTGTTCCAGTGCTTTACTACCCTCCTAGTGAGAAAGTTTTTCTAATAGCTCACCTAACTGCCCTTGCTGCAACTTGAGACCACTGCTTTGTTCTGTTGTCTGCCACCACTGAGAACAGTCCAGGTCCAT